CCTCCTCGTCATCATCATCAGCATCATCATCCTCATCCTCCTCATCCTCTTCCTCATCCTCATCTTCATCATCATCATCATCATCATCATCATCATCATCATCATCATCATCATCATCATCATCATCATCATCATCATCATCACCATCCTCATCCTCATCCTCATCCTCATCCTCATCATCATCATCATCATCATCAGCATCATCATCATCATCATCATCATCATCATCATCATCATCATCATCATCATCATCATCCTCATCATCCTCATCCTCATCCTCATCCTCCTCCTCCTCCTCCTCCTCCTCCTCCTCCTCCTCCTCCTCCACTGCATCCTCCGTATCCACGGCGTCCTCGTTTGGCCTTCGCGGGGCCCCTCGTCGCAGCGGCTGGACGCAGATCGAAAACGAGCCAGGGGTGACCCTGGAAGGGGCCCTGATTTTGCCGTGACGTTCATGGAAAAAAAGGGGAAAAAAACAAAAAAAAGCAAAACAACACAAAAAAAAAAAAAAAAAAAAAAAAAAAAAAAAAAAAAAAAAAAAAAAAAAAAAACGACTGGCATGTTTCCCACAGCTCAGGCCCTTTGGAAGGCCGTCTCAACGCCATGGGATCATCAGAAAAAGACCCACGACGAGAAGAAGCGTCCCCGTACTGACACGAGGACGACGTCCAAGGTCTGGAGACGAAGACAACGGCGACGACGACGACGACGACGACCACGGCGACGACGACGACGACGACGACGACGACGACGACGACGACGACGACGACGACGACGACGAGCAGCATTCCCAGAAGGCACTCGAGACGTCAAAACAAAGAAACTACATACGACACTGTTCAATGCGTTTGGCATTTTCGCTGCAGGGGGCATCAGATGGATAGCCCGAGGGGCCCAAGATGGGACCCAAGAGGACCCAAACCAGCCCCAAAAGGCCCTGGAGGCCCAGAAGGCGCCAGGAAGGCTCCAAGAGGGCCCTGAGAAGCACCAAATAAACCCCAGGAGGGCTGCGAGATCGCCCCGAGAGGCCCCCCAAAGGCGCTGAGGATCGAAACTGCCCTTGCAGAGCCCACGACGGCCCCAAGACACCAATGAGAATCATGAGAACTTCCAGGGGACGAAGAGCAAGAGGAGAGGGAAAAGGAGGAGAGAAACTATACGTCTTCCGATCGGATATTTGCGTTCAAGTTTAACCATTGAGGGGCCGCCTTCCCTTTCTCTCTGCGGCCCCAGAAGTCGCGAGACAGTCTGGCAGACAAGCCGCATGTGTGAAAGATGTGTTCCACAAAGCCGCCGCACAACTGGCTACACGACCTGGGACTGACGACCTCCGTGTGCGAAACGATGTCCAACTGGCTCCACGACGCGCAGCTAGCTCCACGACATGAGCTGCATGTGTGAAACATGATATGGAATCCGCCTCCGTGCCTTTGGCACGTGGTTGAGTACCCTCGGGCCATTACCCTCCCGTAGCCTTAGATTATCATTTTCTGGGCGCCGCCGGGGTCTTCCAGGGCTCGCCGCGCGACTTCCCCCAGGCCTCGGCGCCCTGGCTGAGACCATTGCCCCATGGGTCGCGGGGCCTGAAGACGGACCCCCAAATCTCTGAGGTCCCGTCAGGTCGGGCACGCGCCAACCTCCGGCAGCGCGCCCATGGGTGGGGGGGGGGCATAGGGGAAGGCCGCCCCAAAAGGCTCAAACAATGCCTTTCTTTCTCCCACCTGCTGGTGTCTCTCTGACTCTCCAGTTGGCTCCCTCCTCCCCTCAGCACCCGCGCGCCGCGCAGCACTCGGCTCTGGCGCGGCAAGCTCGGTGGCACCTTCCTGAGGTGTGCGCCAACGGAAAACGGTAGAAACAGGTGAGGGAGGCAGGGGACCAACCCAAGAGCGTCCAAGATGCCCTGGGAAGCCCCCTTACAGATGGTCCAAGGCGGCCCCAAAGAGGAGACGGGGTCTCCGAGGCTGCCCCAAAATGGACCCCAAAAGGGAGCCCCTCTGACAGACCCATCCTCTCCGCAAAGATGGCCCCAAGAGCCCCCAACAGGCACAAGGACCCCCCCCTCAAGAGCCCCCCAACAGGCTCCCAAGAGGACCCCTCGGCCCCAGATCGCTTCAAGATGGCCGAAGAAGGCCCAAGAGGGCTCCAAGAGAATCTCCAGAAGGCCACAATCATCTATGCTCCGAAGGTGTTTCAATGAATTTAGCGTTCTCGCCGTTTCGGGCTTCCCACGCTCCAACACTGCCCCACGGGCCCCCAAGCTCGCCCCGAGACGCCCCAAGACGTCCCAAGAGGCCCCCAAACCGCCCAGACGACGGCCCAAGAGGGCCCCAGAGACAGCCCAAAAGGCCCCCAAGACGGCCCCAAGACGGCCCCGTAGACCTCCCAGGCGGCCCTACAGCGCCCAACGAGAGACCCACGACTGCCCAGACAGGGCCCCAAGGCGGCCTCCGAAGGCCAAGAGGTCTCCTAGAGGCCCGTCGCGCCGCCCGCACAGAGCGCGCAGAGCCCCCCCCCCCCCACAAGCCGCACCAGGCCACCGCAAAGACGCCGGCAAAACGGCCCAAGGTGGCCCAGGGTGCCCCGGTGGTGGTCCCAGGGTCAGCCAAGATGGCGCACGATGGCCATCAAGACGGTCCAGGGTGGCCCCTAAAGGGTTCCAAGGTGTCCACGAGGGCCCCAAGACGGCCCAAAGAGGCTCCACGAAGAACCCCAGGAGCGGTCCAGAAGACTGCTGGCAGGCCGCCGACCCCCGCCTGCCAGGGGTGAGAAGGCGTGTGAGACGTTTGGTTGTCACACTCCCCCCCCTCTTCCCCCTCCCCGAGGGCTCCAAATGGCGTCTGAGGGGAAGGTCCGAGCTCCTCAGCGCCTTTCGGGCCCGAAATGTGGCTCCGAGGTGTCCCTCGAAGGCCTCCGAGATCCTCCGACATGCTTGCGAGAGGGCCTGTAAGACAGCTCCAAGACTGCTCCGAGTGGCCCTGGAACCTCCCAAGGGGGCCTCCGAGGGGCCGCAATCCTTCAGGAACAAATGGCACTTTAATGGAAGACAGGAAGACAGGAAAAAAAACAGAAAAAGCAAAAGTGTGTTCTCCAAGATCGCCCCAGGGAGCCCCAAGAGGAACCCTTGAAGTGCCCAAGACGGCCTGCAGGGCCCCGAAGAGCGCCCGGAGAGCGCACTCAAAGGTCCCAAGAAGCGATTTCTAGAGATATGGAGGGGCAGCATTTGATGAGTCCCCTGCTTGATCGATGCCCTTCAAGATGGCCATAGTAGGGCACACGAGGCCCCCAAGAGACCCCAAGAGAGCCCCAAACGACTCCAGCATTGCCCCAAGAAGCCTCCGGGAGGCTCCCAGATCAACTGGTCTGCGCTCGTAACCGATCTACTGCCCTCGGACCCACGCCGAACGCAGCATCTGCGGCTCCCTCCTCAGCATGGCGAGGCCGTTGACTTCTCCACTCTTCGGGGGGTCGGTGGAAGGGCGAAATCGTCTCGCACATATGATTGCCAGCGTGGGCCCGAAGCAGTGGGCTAATGTGGCGATGTCCGAGTGCGGTCCAACACGTGCAGTGCAGTCCAGGGCAAGAACGAGCTAGACCACCAATGCAAGAACGAGAACTCGCAATACATAGCTCACCATAGAGCACCAGAAATACGTCACCATCCATGGGGGCACCAGGGAAATAACAAGATATTACAGCTTGCAAGACATCATAAAACGCCAACCGTAGAGCACCCCCCAATAGGGCACCAGGGCAACAACGAGAACTCGGAACCGCTCATGCATCACAGGGCACCAGCCAGAAAGCTCCACCAATCGGCACCAGGACAAGACCGATACATCGCGATCTTTGAGGCATCACAGGACACCAGCCAAAGAGCACCGCCCAGGGAGCACCGGAGCAAGAACGAATACCCTCCAAGATCAAGAGTCCAAGGGGCGCCAGCCTTCGAACCACAGGGACTGGACGCCCGGCAATAACTTGGATTCGCGACCATGAGTGCGCCATGAGCCACCTTCCATATAGCACCACTCCCTCACAAAGCAACCAGGAAAAAACGATATCACAACCGTTAAGGTACCCTGGGGCACCAGCCACAGAGCGCCGATGTAGAGCATCAGAGCAAGAATGAGAAATCGCAACCGTTGAAGCATAGCAGAAGATCTGCCATATATGGAGCACCACGGAGAGGGCACCAATGGTAGCCATAGGGCACAACCAGTAGGCCACCAGTGCGAGAACGACAACTCGCGACTGACACGATCAATTCCTTTCAAGCCAAGCAAGATCCCACTGCTTGGGGATTGTGTATTCTCCTCTAGCTTCTCGGTACAAGATAGCGCCCAGACGCCTTCGGAATTCGAAGGAACACCTTAGAACCTCTTTCAACCGTTTGGGGTCCGTTTTATGGGGCCTCTTCTGTTGTTTGGGGCCTCTCTTGGGCCATGTTGTGGCGTAGGATGCCATCTTGGGCAGCCAAGGAAGCCACATCTTGGCGGTCTGAAAGGCGCCGCTGGCCGTCTGGGGGTCTCTTCGGGCTGTGGTGGGCGTCTTGGGCCTGTCTTGGGCTACCTTGGAGATGGCTTCGGGCCCTCGTGTGGCCCTTTTGACCATCTCTGGGGCCATTTGAAATCTCTCTGGCCGTCTTGGCCAATCAGAAACCAAACAACAACCAGCATCACGGCCTGAAGATACCCCCAAGACTGCCAACAGAGCGCCCCAAGACCGCCCAAGAGGGCTCCAAGACGAGCCGAAAGGGTCCCATGAGAACCCGAAGAACGCCCGAGAGGATTTTCAAAGTGCCTGGAAAGAAACCCAAAATACCACTTCACTCTGGACCCCATGTGCTCCCCGTGTCGTCCCGACGACACTGTGGGGAATCGGAATTCAAGCATCCCGAAAAAGTTGTACATCGATTATTGGCCAAACATGCCTTGCGTCTCCAGTGGCAGGGTGCGGTGGTGATTCGCCGTAGGCGTCTTGGGTACTACTTGCTAATGCTGCTAGCTCCGATGTCTGCTAATCCTAGCTGCAATTTCATCTTCTAGCTCCGCTTGTCTGCTCAGCTTGCAGGTAGTGCACGACCCAAGCGTGTCGGCCCTGGGGCAATTGACCTGTACCAAATGCATTCTCGAAGGGCACGGCGTCTCGTACGGTCGGTAATACGGAGGAAGTGATGGGAAAGGGAACTCCTTGAGTGCATCTTCCAGGGTTTGCGACTTCATCGCGCGACGCCAGAATTCGAATTCGTGCACCTGCCACAAGTAGTCTTTTGCGTGTTTCAAGTAATACGGATAGATCGCCTGGAGAAAACTCATTGACAGATTGTCGAAGTCGTCTACGATCAGGACCGGCAGCCGTGTCATCAGCCGATCAAAGCCGAAGCCTCGCTCAACAATTGGTATGGTGCCGACTCTTTGGGATTCCCACAGCCTGTAAGTATCAAAGCCAAGCCCCGCTACACAAAGCTGGAAACGATTACCCCGGAGACCTGCCAAATACGCGGCTTGGTCAACACGCGCAGGGGCCTTATCGTGCGGGTGTCGGAGACGCATAGTTTCTTTCACCTTCTCCACAGTCGACAAGTCATCTCCGTAACGAACTTTGAAGTCATTAAGGATCCTGAATCGGCCGCCCCACTCGGAACTATACATACCGAGCCATGCTGTTTTCAGCTCAGTCTTTGCCTCTGGCTTGCGAAGCTCAAGGAAGACAGGATCGTTGTCATATCCGCCGTCCTTCGTCGATAGCGGAACTGGCACGATTTTCGGGTGGGTGAAATCCGCTGGCCACCTTGGCCCGCAACGCTGTGAAAGGTGTTCCTGGACTTCTGTCTTGCTTTCCTTGTGCTGTACTCTCTGCTTGCATCTGGTCTCTCCAGTCTAAAGAATCCAAGACGGCCGCAGACGGCCCAAGATGCTCGTAAAATGGCCCCGGAGGGCCCCAAGATGCCTCCGAGAGGGCAGACACATGGAAAATCTGGTTCCCAAAACAATGCTTGCGTTTAGGGCATCTTACTTGTCTCCCTACGGGACTGGGTCCGACAGCGAGGCTTGCCACGTTGCCGCCCGTTGCCGCCTCGTTGCCGACTCGTGCGCTGGGTGGGTCCGTCGAGGCTGCGTCACGTTGCCTCCCGCTGCCGCCTCGTGGCCGCACCGTTGCCGCCTCGTGCACTGGGCGAGTCTGGCCAGGTTTCGCCACGTTGCCGCCCGCTGCCACCTCGTTGCCGCCTCGTGCGCCGGATGGGTGCGCTGGCCAGGTCCGGTGAAGTTTCGCCACGTTGCCGCTAGCTGCCGCCTCGGTACCGCAGCTTACACCACATAGCTTGCACCACATAGCTTGCACATCCACAGTGCAATAACTTACTGTTAGGGGTTCGCGCTGGATAACATGTTTTCCATGTGTTTCGCTTGGAACACGTGTCTGTTCCGAGATGTTCCAAGATCGCTTCAAGAGGGGCCCAAGGGCCCCCGAGATTGCCCACGACGGCCCCAAGGTGGCCCCGGAAGGTCCCGAGATGCCCCCCAATCCGACCAGAATGGCCCAACAAGGCCCCAAGGAAGCCCCAACATCATCTCCAGATGGGTCCTGGAGGCCTCAACATTGCGCCATGATTGTCCAAGATGCGCCGAAGGTGGCCCCAAAGGCCCCGAGATGCCCCCGAGAGGCCCAAGGTGGCCCGAAAAGCTGAAGCTGTTTCAGCATAGCCACAAGATAGCTCTGCCCAGGAGGCCATCGGCAGACGGCGAGGCCTTCCAGATTAAAGTGTTGCCTGTGGAAGACAAGATTTACCTCAGGACAGTCCAAGAATCTCTCAACTGTTGTATAAAATCTGTCAGACGGCTTCTGCCAAGTAATCGTGCGATTGGGATACCACGTTGAAAACAGCCCCCAGTTCTCATCGGTTCCTGCATAGAGGGTAAAAGTCCGACCATTCATGCGGGGTTTCGCTTCCTGCCACTTGCGACCCAGCATTGTCATCCGATCCGCAGGATGAAATTCCGTCCGCTTGACACCATGCATTGAACCTGCAAGATGTGGGTCGAAGGTGACATCCCAGTATCCCATTGCGACGAGTGGGGTACCCTCTGGGTTCTTATCAAACCAGTCGACCAAAGGCTGCCAACCAACGTTGTCGTCCAGCTGAACATCAGTAAGACCAATCAGCTGCTGACCACCGTTGTCAGTGTCTCCACGCAGAATCTTGGTCGGTTCTGGCAATGCCTCAATGGCTGTTCGCGTCAAAATCCGTTCGTCTAGCCCATGCAAAGCCGCCACATCAACGCCTTCGTCGGGCTTGAATGTTGGATGCGTATCGTAGAAATATTTCTTAGCATCTTTCATATCTTGTGCGGTGGGCCCATCACTGTTATAGGTTGCCAATAGTCTCTCTACGAATGATCGAGACCGCTGTTCGCTCCATGATGAACTCGCGTACTCAATAAAGGCGTTTGCATCGGCATTCTGCTGCGCAACGTCCGCATCAATTTGGTCCATATGTAGCTCCGGCATCGCAATGTCACGATGGCGACGCACTCTTCCGTTACCTCCTGCGACTGAAATAGAAATTGATGAACTCCACGTGGCCGCTGAAAGGAAAAAGAGCCGGACGAAGTTGGGAGAGGCTCCAAGAGCCATCGTAGTGAGCTTAAAAGAACATGACTGCGAATTGAAAGGTTTGTGTGCACGGCGCTACCCTTGAGCAAAACTGGCTACGGACGATATTCTCGAATACTGCAAGTGTTGGACCTGGCTGCGCAAAGCTGCTGAGCTGACAAGGCTGGCTGGGCTGGCCATCCTGTGCTGGCCTACAACTTTCACCGGTCTGGCCGAGCACATCGCAAAGTTCTACATGACCTGGGCCTGCCCGACCAAGGCTCAGGAATCTGGAGCAGCAGGATCCGCTGCAACCCTTCCTAGGGCAACTATCTTCGCGCTTCGCGCGCTTCGCAAAGCACGATTGTCTTCGCGCTTTCGCGCCGCCCCCCCCCCCAGAACAGGATGAGGGACTCGCGCCCCGCTCTAAAATCTCCAAGAACGCGAAGCGCGAATAGCGACTAACTTCGCACCCTCGTGGTGTCCCTAGCCTTCACTCCAGAAGGACATTCGATCGCAGCCGAAGAAAGAAAACACTAAGATCCCAGCGCGGTCGCCTACGAGAAAGCTCAGCTCGTCCCCCTTGCGAGAGGAGAAGTCTTTCACGACGACGGCCTGCAAACTGGGAACAGGAGTCACGTTGAACTGGTGGGAGAAAAGAAAAGCCAAGAAGAGTCACAGACAATGAGGGGGCGACCGACATATCTCAAACAAAGCGTATGTCCCGATCTGTCTCGCCAGGCAATTGCCCTGCGACGTAACCAGCATGTTCTAAACATGCGGCGATAATTCGTATCCAGGACCGCTCAATACGAACGAACATGTTGAGGGACCCGCCATGCGCAGGAGCACCCCCCGTGGGCAGGGAGCCGCGAGATCTCGGCTGGGTCTGCATGGCTCTCTACCCCGCTGGACCTCCAAGGAACACACGAAAGGGGCGACTGTTGTGCACTTCGCAGCCCCTCAGAGAGCCACGAGGTATCGGCTGTGTCTACGTACTCCCCCACTCCGCTAGACCTCCCAAGAGCCATCGAAAGGAAAGTGTCGGCGGTTGCGCATGGCGCAGCTCCACATGGAGCCGCCAAGTCTCGGCTGGATCTGCGTACTCCCCCCCTTCGTTGAGCCTCCCAGGAACTCACGAAAGTGGATACAATTGCGCACTTCGCAGCCCCCCAGGGAGCCGCGAGGTCTCGGCTGGATCTGCGCACAACTCCACTCCGCTGGACCTCCCAGGAGCCCAAGAAGTGGTGACGTTTGCGCACATCGCAGCCCCCCAAAGAACCGCAAGGTCTCGGATGGATCCGTGTGCAACTCTCCACTCCACCAGACACCCCAGAAGCTCACGAAATTGGCGACGGCTGCGCAGTTCGCAGCCCCCCAAAGAGCCGTGAAGTCTCGGCTGGATCCGAGTGGAACTCCACTCCGCTGGACATCCCAGGATCCCACGAAAGTAGCGACGGTTACGCACTTCCCCGCTCCCTAGGGAGCCGCGAGGTCTCGGCTGGATCTGCGTACAATTCCACTCCGCTGGACCTGCCAGGAGCCCACGAAAGTGGCTACGGTGTGGCACATCGCAGCCCCTCAGGGAGCCGCGAGACGGATGAAGAGGAGGAAGGAAGAGGAGGAATGAATAGGAGGATGAGTAGGACGGGGGCTCCCAGTAGCCCAGGGAGCCCAGGGAGCCGCGAGAGGAGGAAGAAAGAAGAGGATGAGTAGGACGAGGAGGAGAGTGGAGGAGGAGGAGGAGAGTGGAGGAGGAGGAGGAGGAGGAGGAGGAGGAGGAGGAGGAGGAGGACAAGGAGGAGGAGGAGGAGGAGGAGAAGGAGGAGGAGAAGGAGGAGGAGGGGAGGAGGAGGAGGAGGAGGAGGAGGAGGAGGAGAAGGAGGAGGAGGAGGAGGAAGAGGAGGAGGAGGAGAAAGAGGATGAGGAGCTTTTACCCGTAGAAGAGCAGCGTCCAAGAGTGCCACCGGAGGGGGCCCTGGGTCCTCTCCACCGACACGCGGGGGACAGGACCCCCCGACTGCCTCCGCGACCCCGAACTCCACGTCCGCGAGCGAGGCCCCACGTCGACCGACCAAGGCCGAGCAGAGAGAGGCCCAGGACGTCCCGGGCGCAAGCCTCGGGTGTCCCCGACAACCCCACCGTTGGCCCCGCCCAGGTGCCGCGGAGCACGCCTCGTGCTGCCCCAGGTCTGCGGCCTCCGTGCCCAGCAGCTCCTGGGCCGGGTCCGTGGGGCCCTCGGGGAGGGCCACGCCGGGGCCGTCGATGCGCCGCCACACGGTCTGCTCCGTCTGCGACTCGTTGAGCTCGTCCGCATCCATCGCGCGGCCCAGCGCGAGCCGTGCACACACAGAGTTGGTTCAAGGCCGCCTGCTCCCGCACGACAGCATCATCCAGAGCGCGTTCGGCGCGCGCGTCCTCGGCGGGGGGCGCCGCGCCGCCAGCCCTGAGCTGCTACATCGCCTTGGCCAGTTCCACGGCATGCGATTCGCAAGTGGGGACGTGCTTCTCGGCGGCGTACTCATCCTTGACCGCCGAGTCGAGGGCAAGCTGCAGCCTGCCGAGACCGCCTCCTCCATCACCTCCACCTTCGCGTCGAACATCTTTCAAAAAAGCCTCGGGCATCTCCAGGGGCGGCGCCCGCGACCACGCCGTCCTGGGCGGCACCATCTCCACCAGCACCCACAGCAGCAACGCCACCCATTCCAGGCCGGCGAAGGCCAGACGGCCCCTGGTGGCCACCAGCCTGGCGAACCCCAAGAGGCCGCTGCACCCCAGCACTCTCAACGCCACCTGGCCGGGCAGGGGCACCACCGCCGTCGGCGGCATCCGCAGGGGTACCGTGGGGCGGGCCGGGCTGCACCCGGACAGCTCCTGACCGCGGTGGCGGCCAATCCCCACAAAAGCGCTGACGAGGTGCAGGGCCGCGTGGTCCTGCGCACGCGCGTTCTGCGCACGGTGCTCGGCAGCCGTCCGATTCGGGCGGCGCAGCCGCTGCCCAGCACGCGGATCCATTCCTGCGGGCTGCGCGAGGACGCGGAAGGCACGGCCACGGCGCGCGGAGGGAGGAGGGAAGCCTGGGGCGGAGCGCACACGCGCCGATGGCGCTGGCTTCGGAAGCCGGGGCTCGAGAAGCTGGCGCAGGAGGAGGAGGAGGAGGAGGAGGAGGAGGAGGAGGAGGAGGAGGAGGAGGAGAGAGGAGGAGGAGGAGGGAGGGGAGGAGAGGAGGAGGAGGAGGAGGAGGAGGAGGAGGAGGAGGAGGGAGGTAGGGAGGAAGGGAGGGAGGGAGGGAGGAAGGAGGAGGAGGAGGAGGAGGAGGAGGAGGAGGAGGAGGAGGAGGAGGAGGAGGGAGGGAGGCGGGAGAAAGGTTCGCGTAAGCAGTGCTCCAGGGGCCTCGGGCCGCACCCTCCTCCAGGAGGCAAGGAAAAGGAGGAAGGAGAGGATTACACCAGAGAAAAAACCCAATAAATTGATGATTTCATCGATAAGGGAGATCGACCAGGAACCCAGGAACCCAGAACCCATCGAAACCGGCCAGGAACCAATAACCAGGAACCCGGGAACTCGGAACCGGGAACCCGGGAACCCAGCCAGCTACCACGGCGGGAAACTTTCGCCAAATCTTTCAATCTCCGCCAAGACCCCTTCGGTGCAAGCACTGATTGGGGAATGAGGATGTGGAGGAGCCAGCAGAGGTCCGCCAGAGAGCAGGCAGACCCCGGGTGGCCTGAAAACCCATGCCAACTGAGGCGGATGGGGAGGCAGCGCCTCGGGAAGAGGTGGGCGCAGCACTGCCATTGAAAAAAGGGGGGGCCTTGAAATGACAGAATTCCCTATCAGTTATGCCACTGTTCCACCATTAAGGAGGGGGGGGCCAGCGGGGCCCCAGCCTTGGGGTTGAGACCCTGCCGCACCAACGCGGCCTTCCGTTTTTGATTAGCCCTGGTGGCAGGGTTGGGAGATGGTCCTAGACACGCTGAATTAATCCTCGAGCGTCCACTCCACCCCTCCTCCCCTAACGTGATGGCCACACACTAAGTGCAACAGACCGCTGCCCCGTGCGTAACTTAAACGTGCTCTAGTTCCCTGATTCCCTCGAACCTGGCTGGTGGTTCCCTCGGCGGCGCAGGGACGGACCCCAGGACTTCACCAGCTGCCGCTAGGGCCTCGGACACGCACGCGGACCTCGGACGGGACCCCTGGATTCACTGACCATCAGACCCGGCCTACAAAAGAAAACACAGGCCGCCCACGCGTGGGTGGGCAATGGCTTACACGATCCATTCACAAGGTGTGCCACATGCACGTCCGTGGGGGCGATGGGAACACCTGCGGCACCGAACCTCTATCGATGGCTCAACTCGAACGAGGTCGTGCGACACGAGCTCAACGAGGGGGCCCGAGATCCTTGCGGGGGACCCTGACACGAAACTCACGCAGGTCATGCCACAGGTCGAGGCTCCACCGCCCAAATGAGGATCGAAGTGGCACACCGGAGCTCGGACGAGAGGTACTCAGCGCGGACCGATGACACGGCGTGGGTTGACGCTCCGAGCTGGTAAACCAGTCAGCCCACATGATGTCCATACACCACCCAAGGGGGATCCCAAGAGAGAGGGCCTCCTCAGGGCTCTTGCGGACTGGGGTCCAACCAAAACGAGGAGGCTCGCGGGAGCCAGCCACCCCGAAAACAAGCCTCCAAATCCGAGCACGTTTACCCCTGGAGCTCTCCGCAGCAGAGTCCCAGGATAAACCGTCAGAAACCACTCTCGGAAGATCAGTCACAACATGCTGGGTGGCCTGAGCGTGCTTCACAAGACGATACACAGCCCAACGCTCAGCTCTGCCGACTGCCGAATGCCAGGGAGAGGGCCGTACATAGCACGCGCAGGCGACAAGTTTCATCGATCTGGACTGCGGACCAGCCGCAGCGCTTCAATTCAGGCTGCGCCGACTCGAAGCCTGAGCCATCTGTGCAAAACTCAGGGCCCCGCGCGCCAGCCTCGGCGTCGCCCCAAAAGAAGGTCGGGAGCTCGCTCTCC